CCCTCCACACTTTTTTTTATTTCTTTACGTAATATCTATTTTTCTTTACTTCTTCACGCAACATCTATTTTCCCTACTTGTTTACGTAACATCCAATTATCTTTCTTCTCTCCTCCGATTTTCAACCTATTTCTTTTTCTCTCAAACTCTCCTCTTTCACTCAAATTGTAAAATTTTTGCTTAATTCATATTTTATCTCTCAACATGCCATGTATTGATAGTTTTACTATACTTCAGGTGTATACTGGAGATGAAGTAGTGGATCTTCGGTTTCTTGAATCCAAGAAGAGGTTTTGAACTAATTTTTTCAAAAACTTTTATGGTTTTGTAGTAGAAAAGTCTTTTGCTGGACGTTTGGTTTTCATTGATGATTATGTAATTAAAATTTTGGGAATTTTATCATGCTCTTTTTACAATTGTCATAATAAATTTAATAAATTTCCTGAATGTTAAGCTTGAGTTTTTGGCATCTTACAGGTTAGTGATTGACAGATGTATATTCCTTTACTAATGTATTTTTTTTTTTAATGATAGATATCTTATATACTTTGGCTTTTCTTTTCCTTTTTCTACAATTTTTAAATTTTTTTTAATCTTTCTTGTCCTACCTCCACACTTCTTCTTTTAATTTTTAGTTTTTTTTTTTTTTTTGATACTTTCACCTACAAAATTTTCTACTTTTGTTTATCCAAGGTTAAATGCACTCCTTCATTTGGGAGACGAGATATTTTGACTCTTGAGATTTTATTTTTACAGATAAATGGATCAACACTTCTGCTGGAATAGCTTTCACATCACACCTTAGATTTTGGATTTGTAAAGGTATATTTTTTAAATTGCATTTTATTAATCATCTACAATGCCTTTAAGTTTCTTTGTTATGGGTGAATACCAGGTTTTTCATCCATATAACTGCGGCGTACTTGTTTATTTTCTGGACTAGCTATATGCTTTATGAGGAATATGGAAGAGTTGCATCAATACGGTTAAAATTTTTTGCTTCCCAAGGCAAGCATGCTAAACAATTATCAGTTAGTTAAATTTACATTGCCATTCTGATATCATGTATTAGCAAGAATGGATTATTTCACTTAGTAAATAAAAGATGAAAGTTGTTTGATTTTTTGTTTCAAGGTAACTTATTATTTCATTGAATGACTATTGATATTTATAGCAATTTTTTCAATTAAAAGTATAAAGAAGTGAACAAAAAAGTGAGTAAATGGTATCCTAAATAAAGTAAACTTGATATTTAATGCTGCGCAAAGTGGATGCTTCTATTTCATTTCTTGTCCACGTATTTTATGCTTCTCATTTAATTCAATTGTTATAAGAATTCCTTTCTCATGGAGATTTGATAAGTTAATGTGTGTTTTTACAATGTTTTACTATGGATGATTGACATAAAACATAATTGCCTCCTAAAATTACCCTTTCATTGTCAAATATGATGTCAATGTTGAATATATTGTTGCAGTAATTGAGTAAAAAGTTCCAGCATCCGCATTTGTTCAACTATTTTACAAACATATCTTATACTCCCATGCAAATAACTTGCAACTGAAAATTAATCTATCAAAAGGTTTTTTCATATATCCTTGGATCCATCCCCATGCAACTAACTTGCAATTGAGCAAAAATTATATTACACCACTTGTTTCATTTTCAAGTTTGTTGGTTGTGATGATTTCTTGCAAGCTGTAGTTTTTTATCGATTGAGTTTGACTTTTTCATCAATTTTGCTAAAAATCATTGGACTAATCAATGCTTAACTCGAATTATATTCCTATAATTTGTGTATATTTGATGAGTCATTGTTTAGAATTTCTTTTGTAATGCATCCGATGAAAGTTTAATAGAGAAAATGGGTCCCATTGTTTAGAAAGTTGATGAATTGCAAATGATAGATTATTGAATTGAATAGAACAATGTATGCAGGCCTCCAATATTTTTCTTAACTTGGTGCAAGTGTTTTTTTGTCAATATTTTAAGAATTTCATACTATTCAATTCAGACATAATAACATTACTAA